CCGCTGGATCAAGCTCCTCAAGCCGTAGCTCCGTGAAGACGCAAAGAGCGAGGCAGCAGCGCCCTGCATGCCTGTACGAGACAGCGGCGCCCCCGTCGTGGTGGTTGCAAGGCGATGACAATTAGTTCGAAGACTCCCCGTCGCAGTGGCAGCCAGCGCGGCCGCCAATGCCGGGTTGGCAGCCAGGAGCGAGACCGAGCGCGGCGCCGGTGGACACAGCCAGCGCCTGTGCCGGACGCCGCGTTGAGATCTTACAAGTTGGTAAAGTTGTTAAAGCACTTAGATAGATTTTTCTATACAGCTTGATTTGAAAGCAGCTGGACGGAAATTTATCATTGCGTAGAATTTATGATGCTGTAAACTTCAACTCTTCGCGACATTTTCACAAGGAGCGGCGTTTTCTTTTTTCGTTCTTTTTTTGGGGCTTATTTTTTCGGATTCTGCTTTTGCTTCTTCTCTGCTTTTGTTGCTGTTCTGCTTCTGCTACTTTTTTTCTTTTGTTGCTTTTCTGCTTTTGCTGGTTTTCTGCTTCTTCTGCTGCTTTTTTGCTTTTGTTGCTTTTCTGCTTTTTGTGTTTTTTTGTCTTTCTGCTCTTTGATTTTGTTGCTTTTCTGCTTTGGCAGCTGTTCTCCTTTCTCATTTTGTTTTTGCTTTTCCATTTTTTCTTTGTCGATCTTTTTGCTTTTGTAATCCTACCTATCACAGCAATTTGGTGCAGCTAGCAGAGAAGCAGCTGTCGTAGCTGGCAAAATCCATTGGAACTGTGCTGGCCTCAAAGCACAGATATTTTTCCCAGATATTTTTCCATGTCTTCTTTGAAATTAAGAAAGAGAAAGAGAGAGAAGCAGAGCATATCACAAAGATATACAGCATTAGAAATTTGAGCGGCGTCATAGACAGCATGTGCAATTCGCACGCTCGGCGTCAGAGTGTGAGAGGCGAAGCGGTCGCGCATGGACCGCCGCAACAAGAAGAGAGATGCTCGAGCTCTGGCTAAAGTCGAGAAGGGGAGTGAGGCGCTCTTTTTTCGAGCTACGTTCTGCCCGTGCAGAACAGTTTTCTCGCCTGTCAGGGGCATGGTGCTTGGCTGCAAGCGGTCGCGAAGGATCGCATCCGCAAGGCAGCGAGGCGCAAGGAGGGCAAGACCTGCCGGGACAATGTCCTGGCCCTGCACAAGGTACGCCGTGGCACTAGGCCAACAAAACTCTATATTGGCTGCAGCGTGGTCGACATTTCACAAAGTCAGTTACGCGGGAAGCATAGCAGAGAAAGAGCTGTGATGGATGGCAAAGAAGAAACCAAACAAGGAAGCAAGCAAGCAAGCAAGCAAGCACGCACACCTTTGGTCTGTGGTGTGCTGCTGGGGGGAGCGCTGCGCCTCCCCCCCACCGCCTCCGCGCCACGAAACCTGCACTTCATCTGCGACACCCGCGCCTGCCACGAAATCAATATTTTAAGGTGAGCTCCCCGGGGCAAAAGCTTCCAACCAACCAAATACGCCTCCTGTGCTAGTTCTCTTTCTCTGTGCTGTTTCTCTGCTAACTGCACCAAACTGTTGTGATAGGAAGGAATTTCTCTGACACCTACAATGTATATTGCCAGCTAACAACTAATATGAAACCTGCACTATTCCAATGCACTTGGCCAGCTACGACACCTGTGTCTCTGCTAAGGACAAAAAATTGCTGTAATTAGCTAGGTACTAAAAGAAACCTGCTCTGTTCCAATGTTTTTTGGAAAAAGCACGAAAACTGCAAAAACCAAATTAAACGAGCACCCTTTTCACAAACTCTGTCGTCAAACATCAGATTTTTGTTAAATCTACAAACAGTCTTGAAATCAGCGCAAACGGTCATACCATTTTCATAAAAGTTTCATATATATATACTGTATATATGTTTATATTCAACGTAATAACTGTCGAAAAAATGAACGTTTCACGAACAATTTTGGACATGATATGGACAATGTTTTGTTTCTTGTGCAAGGGCCCAGTTTTGCTTTTGTTCATTTACGGTTGCGGTTTAATAAATTTCCAACAATTGTGGAAAGTAATCAATGAATTTGCCTTTTACCAGATTTAATAGATCACAAAACTCTTGCTACCGTACTCTACAGCTACTGCTAATGTTTGCTACCCACGAAAATCGCAGACAAACATATTTTAAAATTATCAACGCTGTTGCCTCCTCTGGAATGTCTTTTGTACAAGCACAGACGCGTGCTGATGTCCAGCGCGGAGGCCGCGAAAACTGTGGAAATAGCAGGTTTCAGTGAAATTCACCCGGGCTATATCGCAAAGAAGGGGCTCCTGCAATGGACCAAGCAGAATTCCTTGGAACAGCAACAGGTGTTGGCCAAACACCATTGCCATCTAACTCATGCCTGTTTGCTTGCCGCTTGATTGGCCTTCAAAAAGAGGTCCTTGAGACTTTGCTGGTGCCATCCGCTCAGGCGCTCCGGAATGTCAGTTCCGCTGAAAGCCTCAGCGCCGAAGTCAGCGAGAACTGGATCAAATCATTCCATGCTTGGGTGTTCCAAAAGGTCAGGTGGCCAACAGCATGTGCACACACCAGTGGCCAAAGTTTCTCAAACGTATCAGTCATTCACAAAAAGAACTAATCTGTACAGAATCACTTGATCATCGTTAAAGATGCATAAATACGCAATCCTTCCTTCCCACCTGTCGGACACACCTTTTTCTTAGACGGCGAAGAAACCTGGATTGGCCAGCCTTGTGGGTGTACCAATCTGCCTACGAAACGATCAGAAACTGCCAACGTCCTTCCGACTTCCGACCCCATGCCCATCAAGTTGGAGTGGGTCAGAACAGACATCTTGAAAAAACCCTACACATGGCTGAATCAGTTTTTGACAGGGCAGCCGCCAAGGAATACCGTCCAAGTCGATGAGTCGCTGGCCGCACTGCGCCGGTGAAGAAGGCAGATGCTGCTCCAGCATGGCCTCTACATCTTTCTCGATGACATCGAGGCCTTGCGAAAGCACCGTCGCGGAAGTAGTCGCTCGAACCACCACTTCTCGAGAAAGAGGCACAACACAACATGCACTGCATGACGCGCGACAAGACAAAAGCGTATCTTTTTGCTACACCGCATGCCTGCGAATGAACCATGCTCATGACATGACCTGTCCCCCCTACAAGCCCACTGTCATGACTAGGCTTCGCAGACTCGACAGAGGATGAGCATTGAGAACCATTGGCCCTGAAGCCCTCCATAGGCTGGGCACTTCAATTTTACCAGCATAGACCCCAAACAGGTTAGTTGGTAAGAAGTGTTGTCACCCTCGTGCGCCCACTAACCCGGGAAAGAAGTCCATTTTGTATGTTTCTGTGCTTCTCCAAAAGATATTCCAAAAACACCAAATTTTATACGTCAGCATAGACCCCAAACAGTTTTAGTACTAACTCCACAAGCTCTTTACTGTTGGGGTTCTCCCTTAGGAAAAAGGAGCTGGCCACAGTGGCTGTCCTCCTCCTGCCCTGCTTTTGTCCTGCTGTTGTTGTCTGGCCGCGGTGCCAACCTGTGTCCTCTGGCTTGTCCTGCTCTTGTCCTCTTCTTGTCCTCCTCTTGTCCTGAAGAACTGACCTGACCATGGTCTGTCAAGTCAGGGCTCCCATCGTCTTGTCAAGTTGAAGGAGAGAGAGGACCGGATCTTTTGAAGTAAAAGCGAGCTGAACTTGAATGACAAGATACAAAGGGGTTATGAAACCCACATCATTGGACACTGGTGGGGAAAATTTGTGTAAGCCACTGACATTCATCTTTGATCGGGTGTGAAAACTAAATGGCTGAATTGCACCGCCTGACGTGATCTTGCGCAGTTTCTAGTTCTGACAAATGTCAGCAACAGCAATGGGTAAGCGCCCAAAAGTCCTGCGCCACGAGGGAAAAGGTCTTGCAAGCTGCAAGAAGCCACCGGTCGGGTTCAAACATTTTGTGCGCAATTTGGGTGCGTTTCTCTTTGATCCACTTGTGTTGGATCCTAATAAAGCCAATGAACATTTTCGTGGTTCCAACTCGATCGGTCGTGGGATCAGTTTGTATTGTTATCGAAAAGCACCACACGAACCGAGGAACAAAGAGAAGCGCGCGGTGCAACAGGATTTGTGTTGCGCATGGATCTGATGAGAGTGAGACATCGCGAAAAGGGGGTAAAGAACGGGTGTGGGTGCAGCTGCGCAGCTGAACAGTGGCCTGAAAGGAAAATGCCCAAGTTCATGGAAGACATCCACCACCTGCGATGGCACACCAAAATGCACCAAAAAACCGCAATACCAAGGGGTTTCCGGGTTCCCATGTCTATTTTTCTCAGGTGGTGTCAGTTTCGATGTTTTGGCTGCTGTAACCCGTGATCTTGGTCGCCTCGCGGTCGCCTTGAGGTCGCACCATGTTCAGTTGCGCCATCGCATCTGAGAGGTCCTGGCAGTTCCGGGGCAGATCTCCTTCGGCTCGGACGACCTGAGAGCCGAACCGTCTCCACCGGAGAGATGCTGAAGACGAAGCGAAACGGCGGACGTGGTTCTTGTGGAAGTAGCGAGCTGAAACGGCTAGAGGGTCGTCCATTGATGTACCAGTCAAGTCCTTCTTTTGGAGTGGTCGACGTGGTGGAGACGTGGCGAACATATGTTAGAGAGGCGAGGTTTCACCTTGAACAGGTTTTCGCCATGGGGAGGCTTCGAAGAAAAAGGATTCACCCGTGCGAGTGCCATGTGTTCGTGCTTGGAAGGAAGGCCACAGGACACCCATTGACAGGTTGAGATTGGCAGGATTTCAACCGACGAGGGCAGGGTCGAAGCCCCTGTCCTCTAGGATTCGAAGAACCATCTTTGGGTGTTACTTATACCGAGCAGCCCTCGTTTTACTTATGTAGGATTTTAGACAGCCGAACTCTTACAAAGATGATCGAACTGAAGGCCGTCCACTCCGGTGGCGCGGCTCGGACGTCCGCGGAGCGCCCGGGTGCGAAGCGGTCCACAGGTGCCGTTGCAGCGGCTGTGGCAGGTGGCGCAGACGCACGAGCTGCGCCAGGCGAGCGCCGCGCTGCAGCTGCAGCTGATGGATGCGCTCCTTCGGGGCGCCAGCGATGAGCTGTTGAAAGAAGAGACGCTTCGGAATGCGATCGATGAGCAGCTTGGCACGTGGGAGGTGGATAGGGGTGGGTACAGCATGGTATAGGGGTTTTCGGAGTGGAGGAGGGAGTGGTCCGGGAAAGAAGGCGGTGTGAAACGTGGTCTTGCATCACTGGATCTTGGCTCAGGTGGTATCATTCTTGCTTGAACCATCTTGAGCCCTAGAACAGGTCGTTTTCCACACCAATATGTTACATTGCGCTGTGTCACTCTTTAAGTGTCCCCCCCAGCACTCCGCGGACGAGGGTCGCCGAACGGAGGTTCCTGGTGCAGCGCATGGATTTCGAGTTGTCTGCTCTGGGCGGCTTGGACGAAATCTGCCAGCTGCGCCCGTGCCCTGCGCCGGCGCCCCGTAGGTCCTCCCCGGAAACGAAAGAGAGCGACTGTCACCGTCGTGATCTTCGGGTGATGAAACCCTCAGCGATTTTCCCATGGCGATTTTCGCCCGAGTCGCTGGAGCCTAGAAGAGGTCTGGCCCCCCCGAAGTGTCCGCCAGAAGTCTTCCTGCACCAACTCTGGCAGTTTCCACGGGAGAAAAAACCACACAATCATTGCTTGATAGACTTGATAGAGGGAGAAAAGAACCGCTGGTTTCAGTGTGGTGGCCGGTGACTCATGGACCTTCAAACGCGGAGCCAAGGCCACATCGGCACGTGAGGTGTTGGACACCCTGCAGTCACGCAGAGCACATCGAGCTGTGGAGGGAAAAGACACGAGCTGGTGCTTGTTTCCTTCTGCTCTGCCACGCAGAGCTTGCCGCGCGAGCTGGGCACTCCTCGGCCTTTTTTGCTGAGAGCTGCCCTCAGATTTTGTCACTGATTGGACCAGCATCTTCAGCCGAAACCATGTGCTTTACCCACTCACTCTTCAAGGTCGTTGTCTGATTGTCCTTAATGATCCTGATCGTTCTGAAGCGTCTTTCGGCACGAAACCATCAGGAGTTTCGAATGAACACCAAACCAAAGACTGCTCCCGTCCGGTCTGAGAGGCAAAGTGTGACCTTAATGAGATGTATCCCCGAAAAGAACCACAGACCTGGTCCTTTCAAGATGTGCTCTTTGTCCCAAGCATTTTGAGAGAGCGGAATTGGTGTTCAGAAGGGTTTTTTGATCCTCTAGCGCCCTTCAATGGTCCAGGTGGAGCGAGCCCCCCCCAAAAAAAACGAGTGAATCGATCATGGAAAAGGTATAATTGGACCATAGGACATGAAACAAGCATGGAATACACAAGTATTGGATCATAGACTTTCAGTCGACCGAAGTCTGCGAGTTTTTGGGTCTTACGATGGCGCAGTCAAAGCACACCATGTGTGGAAGACGCACCGGTCCTCCAGCCGGTCAGAAGCCATATGGGTGTGTAGCTCAACCAGGAACCCCCCCAAAGAAGAAGGGAAAAAAGGGGGGTGTCACCCTATCTCTATCGGCAGGACGTCCCGTTCAACGATACGACTTGATACCAAAGGGGGTGTTCAGGACATTCCCGGACTTAGGTCAGTCTCTTATAGACCACCTCTTTATGGTGGGTTGAGAGTAGATGGCACAATCCACACAAGGTGGTTTATATGGACCCCTATATAAAAGACATCCTGGGGTTTGTGCCATCTACTCTCAACCCACTACAAATGCTTCGACTGGACGACCGCCACGGTGGCCAAGAAGCGACGCGCCGCAGGTGTTGAGACCGGCTGGCCTGGACACTTAGGCGCCCCCTGCGAGCTTGGGTGGAAGCCTCCATCCTCTTGGGATTGTTTGGGGGGTTGGTCAAAGTGGACCATAAATGTGTGAGGGAAAACCGGTGTGGGTGGATCATCAAAAAACACTATAAGAGAAGCTACTAGTAACAAGGAGCTAGTAGTAACAAGGGCATCGCTACTAGGAGCAAGGGCCTTACTACTAGGAACAAGAAGCTAGTAATTAGAATTTAATTAGTAGTATCAATTAACGTTACTAGCAAAGAAGCTTAAAAAGCATCTTCCGCTAGACCCAGCCAGCACCGGAAGCTCGCCAGGCTGGCCGCGCCCGGCACCCGGAGCCGGCCCAAACCGGCAAATCAGCAGCGCCCGGGGCCCGACCCGGGGGCGGCGTCACTGGTGAACGGGCCATTCCGGTGATGCGTCGGGTCGTCTGAGCTCGTCTGAGGAGATGTGCCTGAAGAGACCCGTTGGTTTGCTCGCTGCACAACAAAAAGGTTCTACTATGATCTACTCTTTGTTTCAGAAAAAAGATGGAAGAAGGGTCAGGGCGTGTCTCTCCCCAAGCGGTTTTTGAAAAGCTAGGTTTCCGTCATAGAAGATGGGACGGGCTCGTTCCCCGGGTTGGCGTCGGACGTGTTGGCGTTCGACTTCTGACTTCGCTCCGGGGACGGGTGTGCTGGATCGAAGGGATTCAGGTCATGGACGGCTTTTCATGTGAAAACACGATAGGCTTATTAAGTGGTTTCCCTGGAATTCGCATGGACAAATGGATGAAACTGGAAAGACCATCTTTCAAATACCAAACAGTGGGTGCCATCCACTTCCATGTTAGTTCCAGGGAGAGTACCTTCCGAGTCGACCAAGGGTTGAGGACGTCTTCACGAACAGGTGGGAGAGTTGCTGGGTGTGGCTACCGAACTCCTTGGTCGCTGGGCGCACGCGACCTGATGAAAAACGGCCCGTGACGTTGGTTTGGTATTCAGCCCAGTATATATATATATATACCCACCCTGTTTGAGGTTTCACCAATAAATTTAACATGTTGAGTAGCGTGTCCAATCCCTTCAGACTGGATTGCAACCTGCGGATCTGCAGCGAGTTCATGCTTAATCAGCTTCCTCCCGTGCCAGAATCCAAATTGAATACAGTTTTGAATCGCGCTGCTCCAAAGTCTCCTCAAGGTTCTTTTGCTGTTTTTTGGCTGCCAGCTGCCTTGGTGATACTTGACCATGTTGGCTTGCAGGCCGCTCTCCCGTTCCTTGCTGATTCCTGATGGTGTTCCATGTCGCGGGTGATCTCTCCAGCTCCATGTTCAACTGATCATTTTCGGGTCTAATGAGTGGGTGTTCTCACGTCCACGCGAGCACCAACCGCACCAAAACCGCACGTCGAGTCCACGCGAGTCCACGCCAAGGACAGCGCGGGCGCCAGCGACTCGCGGCGCTATCGGCAGATCTCGCCCACCGAGGTGGGAAGAGACTCGTGGCGCGCGCGCGCGCGCGTCCCGTGCGTGGAGGGCAGTGGCGCCGATCGACGGGTCTTGGCGGAGAAACGCGCGCTGTTTTGGTTCTAGATTCAGATTTCATATGGTTGACCTGGTGAATCAAAGTGGGTAGCCCTGTGGGTCTATGACTTGAACATACTTGAAGCACATTTGCCTAAGTCACTAGACAGAAGGTCAGCCAAACAATAGTATTCCCTTTGTTCCATCCCAAACCTATGGGGATGGGAGGTGACCCGCCGATGTATCCCGACCAGAACACGCAGCGAGAGAGAGCACGAACCGACGCGTCGTTGCGGCGTCGGAGCGACGGCGCATGGTCAAAGCAGCGGGTCGGTAGATCTGGGTGCCATGACTGACAGGCATTTTGCCATATTTTCTGAACCTTCTGCAAGCAGAAAGCCCAGAAGCGTTTGCAGTGTTCGTTCACTTTTTGGATTGGAAGACACTGAGAACAGGGACGACCAGCTGCTTTGGATTGATTTCCCACGCTTCCAAGACTCTTTTAACAAAACACATCATTATTCACTTTGAACTCCTTCACCTCTAGCATCTTTCAGGCCCAGACACGAACATGAGGAACATGCATTGCTTTCACGACGACACGACCCTGGATCTTCATATGGACGGATCGGGCCCAAATCCTGTGGGGAGGGATCTCAAATCCCTATAGGTCCCAAGGTTTTTTGAGGAACCGAGGGCTGTTTGGAGCTGCATTCAACAAGGATCCCTCTTCTTTTCTCCGAAGACTCCGGGGGCCCTTCTCCCACAGAGTTCGGGTGCCTTCTTCGCCTCCGGACCTTCCGGCGTTGGTTCCGTCTCGGTCGGGTCCCGAACGGATGCAGCCGATCTGGGTCCGTGCCCTCGGCCGTCGGCCGTCTGAGGACACGACCAGCCGCCGACAGGTCTCCAGTGCCCTTGGGCCGGACTCGGTTATGGAGCTTGGGTGTTTGGAGGGTTGTTTTTGCATACCTATGCAACCAGCCAACTGTGCAACGTTTCTGCGTGTTCATCTATGAAACCAGCCAGGTTGGGCAGACTTTTTGGCATAGGTTGGAAGGTCGTATAGGCACCCAGCAATGGCAAAAGCTTTTTTACCCACAAATGCCGACAATAGCACGGCTGGCTCTATATTACTTACATTCCGCACCCTTGAACCTTCTAGTTTTGCCAAGCCAACCTTGTACAGGTCAATCCTTGTGTGTGGCTGTGGGCGTGCGTGTCTTCGCCGAAACATTTTATTTTTTCCAACCTCCATCCCCAACTTCCACAACGGTTGGTGCAAGAAGAATCGGGTGTTCGGTTTTGGAGGAGTCCTGGACTCCGGAACCTGCCGAACGAACGAATGCACCAAACGAGTTCGGACTTACTCCACGTCTGTGTCCGGGGGATTGGTGGGGCATGGCCGGACAAATACGGGAGACATCCAAAAGGATCCAACAGCGATGCCGTTCCGAACGTAGCGTCCTCTTGCTCCGTTCCGTAAGTGCCTGGAGCGGCCCGTTCGTTATTTCTTGCTCCGTTCGTAGGGATGCCCTTGTTAATAGAGATAATTTTTTTGATCACCCAAGTATAGTGCTGGTTTATCTTCGGGTGATACCTAGTGAATTGCTGGAACACCTCAAGGTAGAATTGCGATCCGTTTTTACTTGATCAAAACCACGAGAATTGCGGTACGTACAAACCAAACCAACATCAGTTCCCCATTGAAAATCCATACTCTGCTTTCTGAGAGTTATAGTTCAGTAAAAAAATGAACGTGTCAAAGTTGCAGATTTTTATAACCACTCTGGGATTCCTCTGGGGCCACACACCCATCCTTCCACACACCCAATATCAGAAGACTGGGCCCAGCAGGATGGGAAATGTCTTTTTCTTTTCCCTTTGAGCCACCAAACAGAGTCCGCGCGCTTTTTTGCAGCAGCCTTCCATGTTGCTTCAAGAAAAAGAGCCCGGCAAAAGAGCAGAGTCTCTTACAAAAAGTATCGGTCTTAAACATGTTTCCCCTCGAAACCCACCAAACTTGAGTGTGGCATGATTTTTGCTCAATCGGAGGAGCGAGTCCATCGGGGAAGAAGAGGGAACATCAATCAGAGGCATCGACATGAGCATTCACCGCTGACGCCCAGGACACCAAATGTTCTGACAGCAGGCGTGCCAGCAGGCGAGGAAGCCCCCTTTCACCCGACAGTCGCAATCTCGGAGGCTGGTTGGTCGGTTGGTCGCTTGGGTGGCTCTGCCTCAGTTTTGGGTTGCAAGCTGAATCAGTCTCCAAAGATGCCTCCAAGCTTGGAGGAAAGACATGTGTTTCTTCCCACCCGAAGAATCCTTGGCTTCTCCATGGCATATGTGTTGCTTCGGGCCCGGATTCTTGGGGCAGATGTGTAGATGTTGACTTTTCATCGTAAGTCTCGCGTGGCGCACACCCACGGATGCGTTGTTGTTTGCTTTTTTGGGGGTGAGGGGGGAATTTCTGCAGATGCTCCGTTTCTTTGGCAAGGTGAGAAGACT